ATAATATCAAGACTGACGCATGAACGCTTGCTATAAATGTATTTTGTTTTTATTTTCGACTTCAATAAATATCACCACGGTAAAAGAGTAGAATGGTGACATTATTAAATAGGTTGTTTTGAAAAATAGTGCGATAATATGTTTCTAGTATAGTTCATGGCATAATATAGTATTGTATTTGGGGTGGGTGGTTGTAGAGTATATAAATATGTATGGTGTATTAATTATAATATAGTGTATTCTGTCTATACACCAAAATAACTCCAAAGAATAACCCAAGAACTGAGCGACATCGGCATCAAAGCATAACTCTGGAACTGAACCGGAAAAATACTAAATATATTACTCCGCTGCCTGAGCTTCTTGATTGAGTTGGAAGAGGTATAAAACTACGCCTGTCAGCAGTTCGGCAGTGGAGAACCGCTATTGCCAACAGAAGAGTATGATTGACATGAGGCACTATTAGAAGATTACAAATATTCTTATCGGTTAAACTGCCATGCCCTTGTGCTTGCTTGATACAGAAAGAATTCATTGGCATATGGTCCCAGCGCTAACGTATGGGTGAGAAATATGAGCCAGAAAACTATTCATAAACTGCGGATTTCTCAGAGCACCATGGAAAGGTGTATGGTGGGAATAACATGAAGCGGAACAAGCGGTAGTTTGCAATGTAATTTCGCGAGTGAACAGTTTGAATTGCAATTAATAGGATTCATCGTAAGAGCAACCGACAAGAGAAACATTATGTTGGGTTCCAAAAATGGTAGACAGCCCATAAGAAGATATCCAGTCGAGCAAAGAAGTTGTATAAAAAGGATAAGGATAGCCGAACACAGTTTCACTTGGAGGAGTTCATCCAGCAGTCGATGGAAAATAACTGCTGCTGTTGAGGATATTGTACTAACATACGACATGAAGACAATCTGCGTATTTGTTTATTTACAGTTTAATGCACAAAGAAGTGACCATCCATGTATCCGATTAATATTAAAATATACTGTATATCCTGTACATAATGTAGTTGAAACAGTGTCATAATTAATTGCATTTTTGCCTGATAAGTAGAATTTACAATACTATGACAGATTTATATTGCAAAGTTTGTTAAGAAATTTTTTAAACTGAGCAAAGAATGTTTCCCTCAGCTAATTATGATAATAATTTACCAAATTTAATGATTTCTAAAAAACCTGAAAAGTTTGCCATCAAATCAGGTAGTTGATACTTTAAAAAGCTTTTAGTTGATACCTAATATGTAAAAAAAGCTAGTTTTAATCTGAATTGAACCAAAGTTTTATGATTTTTGTGCTTAGAGAGAAGCGAGTGCAGAATCATCTGCGCAAAGTATACGGTTGTCTGGCAGCATGTCT